TGGTTAATCTCATGTTACCGGCATGAAGCTGGTTAATCTCATGTTACCTGCGTGAAGCTGGTTAATCTCATGTTACCTGCATGAAGCTGGTTAATCTCATGTTACCTGCGTTGATCAGAACCAGAGCGCTGAAGAGAGCGACCTGCTGCTCGGTGAGCTTCAGAGCGCACATGCCATGAGCGAAGTCGAACACTGCCGCCATTAAATCCCCGCATGCTTGGAGAAAAGACGGCACAACACTCCGGTAAACCACAGTGAACACGGCATTTAGTAATCTGCACAAATCTGTTCGTGAAATATTCACCCAAAGACTTGAAGAGTTCAGTTCCAGCAAACTTCCCGTCAAAGAATACGGTGTTGTTGTCCGTGTTGAAGAAGCGACACATTCGGACCAGAACCACCTCCATTGAGCCTATGGGGTGGGGTTAAAACAAACAAAAAATAAAAACTTTTTTGGCTGTGTCTGTTAGCAAAATATCTCATGAACTTGCTGAATTCCAATGAAACTTGCAGGCAGTAATTATCAAATGTGCATCTACAACTGTTTACCTTTTTGAGCCATTCTAATTTAAAATGGCCGCTACAGCTAAGTGTCATTAGCCTGCAGAAAACGTCTATAACTTGACCTAAAGTTTGAGGTGGTAGCTGAGAGTCACTCACAACACATCCACTGAGCATGAAATATCACAAGATCGAGCAAAATCTTATTTTTAAAGTTGAACCAAAGGTGCGTTTAGTCCAAAACTCTGACATGTATTCCTTCAAGGAATGCTGGGCCTTTACATAAACTGGTTTGGAAGGTGAATAAAGACTCACCAGTCTTTAAGAGGGCAATCTGGTCATTCTGGGTGAGCATACGGAAACCTGGTATGTGCTTTGCAAACTCCACCACATACTGCACGGCATCAGTGAGTCTGATGGCGCAGTGCTGCCACATCTCATCCACCGTCTGGAAAGAAAACAACAAATAGAACCAAAAAAAAAAAGATTAATTTACCGTACTTGCTACCGTACACATTACACCGCCGTATAAATTGCATCAGTCCAAATATGTCTACTGAAGTGAAAAAACATAAATACGTCGCCTCGCCGTATAGGTCGCATTTATTGCGTCACCGCTGAAAACCCAGAATTGTGGGCCGGTGTTGGGCCAAAAATCGATTGGCTGCCAAATGGCGGCCGCGGGAGCGTACACGGGAGGACTTTTACAAGAACTTAACAAGATTAACACTTAAAAACAATTATTTGTTTGCTCAAAATATTAGTAAAGATGTGTCTCAGTTGAACTTTTCCTTAATAAATGCACTTTGACGGTCAAATCAGCTGCATTTCACCTGGGCGGTGCGGCGAAATGCAGCTGATTTGACATTTGCTCCAGGAGTTCCAGAGCAAGACGAAGGTGACTCTGTATGGCAAGTCAAGTGTCTAATTAATAACCACTTTACTGAGACACTTGGATTGCCATAATAGTCAAACGCCCTCTAGTGGCTGAAAATGGTAGTGTTCAATATTTTCTATGTCAGAATGAATGAAATCATCAGATCTCAGCCAAACATTAGGTTATAAATATGGCGGGAAACAAAACAAATACGTCACTTCGCTGTATAAGTCGCAGGCACGCTAATTTATGCAAAAAGAACTGTGACTTATACAGCAAAATTTATAGTATTTGTGTCCTTTCTCAGCGGACCAACTGTATGTAAAATGGGCTGAGACACGTCATCCCACACAAACCATTCCCGTCATATTTTATCAACCTACTGTTTAAGTCTATATTGTATAACTTTATTCTTACCCATCCTTCTACCTTAGAAAAATGTTTTGATCAAAGTGAAAAAAGGAGGAGGAGGAAAATGATGAAAGAAGTTTTAGTTCTCAGTTTGAGTCATCAAACAAAAGTAACCTCACGCCATTCAAACGATGTGTTGTTTTTTTTTACACCGTCTGAATCACTCAAAAGCAAGGCAAGGCAATTAAACAATAGATAAATTTAAAAAAATTTAAATCAGGAGGAAACGAAGGTTATATACTTTGCTTTGGTAGGCTTGGATCTCCTCTCTGCTGAACAGCTTCCACCTGAGAGCCTGCAGCTCCTCCAGTCTGAACTGGCTGGTCTCTCTGTGGGAGCGCACGATGCTGGCGCACAGCTCCTCTGAAGAAAGGCAAAGAACATTAAACGTGCAGCACGACTAAAGGTGCGTTTTAACCCGCTTCGCAGAGTGCCCACCGATGTTTCGTGGTGTGTGAGGATAGAGGCTGTACGGGTCATCGAGGTGGGCGTAGGGGTGAATCGTCACGGGGTCGTGAGACTGCTGTCTGGAGTCAAAACCTGAGGAAACGGAAAGAAAATCCCAAGAGTGAGGAGGAATGTAAAAGGCTGCATGCATCCCAACGTGAATGTCTCACCTCTTATATCAGGGTGTCCGCTGTTGTCTCCCCTCCCCTGGGATCTTGATGAGGGTGAGACACCGGAGCCTCGGTAGATCATTCCAGACACCTGAGAGTTGTTGGGGGAGCACACCAGGTAAGGGTGAACGTCAGCGGCGTAGGACATCAGCTCAGCCTCTCCGCCGTAGGTGTAGGCTACAGCCATGGGCTGAAGCAGCTGGGGGGACCGGTCCTGACGGGTTTTGGCAGCATAGGACAGCGCCACCTGGGCGTCTCCCTGAAGCTGCTGCTGTTGCTGCTGCTGCTGGCGGTGCCTCTCCACCTCCGCGATGAGAGAGTCCCGCTGACGTTTGGACATCCGCCCAAACTTCACCGCTGGGAAGATCGAGAAGCAGAAATAAAGACCCGGCGGAGGATGCAGACGATGGACGGAGTGGATTTGTCTCGTTGCTCACCGTCTTTGCTCATGCCCTGCGCCAAGCACTTCTGCAGGCGGCAGTGCTGGCAGCGGTTGCGGCTGGCGCGGTCGATCTGACAGTTACTTTGTCTGGAGCAGGAATACGATACGGTGGGCAGCTGGCTGCGCCGGAAAAATCCCTGAGGGTTGAGTTAACACAACAAAGCACGGTTTCTGAATCAGAAAGAGTGACGTCTAAGTTATTTTTTTTATCCCCATCAACCCAAGAGACTCTGAACCTTTTGACACGAACTGTTAACGTTTACAAACGACTGTCACCGCTCTCTGTTCTCAAGCTGTTTCACGCTTTCTAAAAGGCCTTATATGGATAAGCTTGAATCGGGGTTTCCGTGGAAATCTAACGAACAAATATCTTACCTGTTGTAGATAGCTCTGAGAAACGGTTGAATTCTGAGTGGACTGACGAGGCAAACAAAGAACAAAGTCGACTGATGCTGCCTTAAAACAACTACAGTTTTAAGAGTTCAAAGCAGGTCACTCAAATCCTCCTTAAGACAACTTAGCCATTAACTCCACAGTTGTTTTGGCAGACACAGCTCCATGTTCCTTTATGGAAGTGCTCCAGGAGGCACCGGAAATATTACAGCTAAGTGCTGCTGCTGCTGCTTCTGTTAGCATAAATCCAAACAATTCTATGAAAATGGTAAAATGCCAAATTAGTTCTGACGAGAACCTCTATGAAAAAGATCTGTTTTCAGATAGCATCAAGCTACAGTGGCTTTTGCCCCACCCGTTCAACTATCAGGTCAAAATTAAACTATTTTAACTGAGGCCTCTACCATTAAAGTAATTCAGCTTTTTGGGATATCCACAGATCAGCCTTTGTGATAATTGTTTTACTTTAAGGTTTGAGCTGCATCGCGTTAATTCGCTGTCTCAGACCTGTTCGATCGACTCCCAGAGCAAAGATGTAATCGGACCAAGAATGTTTTGGAAGTAGAGGAAGCTGCAATAACATTTTTGGAAACTCCACCTGTCCTTTTAGGTGACACAAACTCAGACAAAAGAAGGACATGAGTCGTGGTTTGCAGGAGGTTAAGTGTTTTTTTTATGGTACAACGTTAAACATTTTGAATCCAACCTTGAATTCTCCATGATTAATATAGTTTTTTCCTCTGCCACTCATAAAACTATTTATCAGTAACTTAGTTTAGGCATCACTGGATATGTATTTCATTGTGAATATTTTTTACAAGTTTTAAAATACTTTACCGGTACCAACGGTAAATGTTTCAGCTCATTGTGAACCAAAGGAAGGAGTATAAATAAAAATAGCAAACATAAAGGCTAATTGAGGCATGCCAGTATTTGTTTGTTGACCCACCTTGCAACCTTCACACGTGATGACTCCATAATGCACTCCTGAAGACTTATCACCACAAATCTTGCATGGGATAACTTCAATCTGAGCTGAAACCACAGATGTAGAAGTTGTATTAACGCTTTCTTTGCTCCGTATAGGTGACGCAAGAACTCAGACAAAAACTGTGTAAAAGACAGGAGTTCAGTTTGCCTTAATTTGGCCGTTTAGATGAGCTCAGATACATGAATAGAAATTAAACTCCATAAATGTGGCTGATATATTGATGCAGGGGCTGAGTGAATGCTTATTACTCTATGGTGGTGTAAATGAACCACAGACGCCCCATTAAAAACAAACAAACGTTTTTTAATGTAAATCTTTAGTATGTCCATCTTGTTAAACCTTTGTTGTCCCCATTGCAGAGCAAAAAAGAGGAATTGCAAATACCCACCGCCCATCCATCCATGAATGCTGTGAGAACGATAACTGGAAAAATAACTGAGGTACCGACTTCCATTTTTGTGTGTGGCTGCATATAGTCATAAAAAAGGTTCCTTTTGAAAATTGGGCTGCCAGGTCAAAATCCAAGATGGTCACCGTCATAAACCTTGTGAACTTGAAAACTTGGAAGACAAAAAAAGCAATGGACCAACTTCCTTTTAGGTTAGTGGCTGCATCTAGGTGTAAAAATGGTTCATATTGGAAATTGGGTTGCCATGTCGACTGCTGGATAATGACCCCTGTGACTGGAAAAAGAAGAAGCGGGTAGAAGATACAACAATTTTCAGTCAGGTCATCTGGACAGTTTTTTTTTTTTTTGTGCTGAAACACTGAAAAAATTTAAAAAATAAAATAAAAAGAAACTGTCCAGATGACCTGACTGAAAATTGTTGGATTGTATACCTGGATTATTGAGCATGGACTTTGTCGGGTAGAAGATAATGAATGGATGGGTTGCCATGTCAAAATCTAAGATGGCCACCACCATATAAAATAATGCTTTATAGTTTTTATAGTGCTTAAAAGTATAGTTTCCTCAAATGATTTGGGAGGGCAAAGATTAATCTATATGTGCCAAGACCACCATTGGCCACCCCTTGGCTCCACTATTGCACAAGATGGTGGATGAAATGGCTCCCTCTTGCCAGGATCCATCACTCTGTGTTACTTGGACAAGTAAAAAAACACCAAAAAAAAAACACAGTTGTCTTCTTCTCCACAGTGTAACTTCTCCCAACTTGAATATTTTGCACCAAAAACATTAAGGTTTACTTGCATTCCTCGTTCAATTCCTGTCGAGAAAAACACTAAACTGTAAAAGCAGGGGGGACATCAGCGTACTGCTTGTTTAAATTAAAGTTGTAGCGTTCCTTGAAGGAACTTCAGTCAGCCCAAAACTGTCAAGTAATAATTACAGTATGTAACTGTCATTATGTGATCTGGGAGTTTGGAAAATCGTTAAGATGAAAAACCAGCGTTGATGCAAGAGTGGAGTAGAAATACCACAGAGATGTTAGGGCACGAGCTCTCCTCAGATGAACAGAACACTTCTTAAAAAGTGTCCAGTTCTACACTTTGATTATGAGAGAAACCATTCAGATTGTTCCCAGCTAGTTTTACCATAAAGAGACATGCTGGTGAAGATTCTCAGTCATCCAGGACACGATGAATTCAACAAAGTTCAAGACAAAAACATCTGGATCCAACAATGTTCAGTCAGGTCATCTGGACAGTTCCATTTTTTTTTGTTGAGAGACGTTTCGCCCTCCATCCGAAGGGCTTCATCAGTCTGAGAAGTCACGTACAAACTGTTTTCCCCATCAAGCAGTACACTCGTACTGTGGACCAACCAGTTTACTGGTGAGAAGATGGTTTCTGAGGGCTGTCCTCTCCCCCGTCGACTCCTCACAGGCAACACAGCCGAAGTGGTTCAATACATCAGGGTTCATGCTCAATAATTCAGGTAAAGAAATCCAACAATGTTCAGTTATCTGTCAGCAAAATCATCTGGACTTTATTTTGTAACAACTTCTCATCCGAGGAACTTTCTCAAAGAACAGAGAGTGTGGGGTTCAAGTTATAAAGCTGAGGTAAACTATGCAGATTGTCCTATCACTTCTCACAATAGGGGTTCATTAGGGTCTTTGTTAGTCTGACCCTAAAGACCCTAACAAACCCCTATTGTGAGGACTGATAGGACAATCTGCATATGTATCTAGCTTACTTCAGCTTTATAACTCGAACCCCACACTCTGATCTTTGAGAAAGTTCCTAGGATGAGAAGCGAAACGTCTTCTGTTACAAAATAAAGTCCAGATGTTTTGTTTTTTTGTCTTGAATGTTTTTAAATTGACCATAAAGAGAGCATCTTATCCTGGACGCTTGGAGGTTATTTCAGCAGAAAAACGCTCAAATTTTTCACAATGAACAACATTTTGGTTTATATTTTCTAAGTCCGATGTAGTTGTTCGGTAAAAACATTTTATTTATATTACGTTACATTTTATTTCTTGTCTGTTTTATGAAGATCCAAACAAATTTCACATGATAGATTTCTCTCTTTTATTTATTTTCTTCTTTTTTTGAAGAAAATATTGTGTAAATTGTGGCCTGAGTGTTAAAATTATTTAATGAAAGTCCTGACAGCTAACAGCGTAGCTCCTTTTTGAGTAAATTCTGACATCATGACACGCTGCAGATCTTGTTCATAGACTCCACAACGAGAACTTCTGTCAAACGCTGTACTTCCCCTCTAACATCAAACGGCTGCTGTGTGACCATGAGTAAATCGAGGGTATTTTCCTCCCCGACGCGCCGTAACTTAATAATAATGAGTAAAAAGCAATAAAGAGGAGAGTTGTCTGAGGACGTGGAATATTTGCAAGTGGAGAAAGGTGGTGAATATAAAGGTGTCAACCTCAGAGTCCTTTCAAGTGGTTGGCTGGCTTCTCTTTCATTCTGACTGTCCCTCTTTCATGTCATCACTTAACTTTCTGATCCTTCTCTGTCTCGCTCATATAGGACACAATTGCCAGTAATGCACTCTCCTTCCCTCATCACTGCCAGTAATGGCCACCTCCCCCCATGCCCCTGAAGTTTGCAAACTCTCACGCCCATCAGGTCTTTTTTTTTTTTTTTTTTACCAAGAATGGATTTTGTCATGTTTCTGAAACCAGCAAAAATCTTTAATAACTGTGAGTAGACATGCATAATTACTATCATTACTATCTCTAATCATTATTATCAGGTCTCTCTTGTAAATGAGTCCTCGAGGCTCAGTGGGATTTACCTGTCTAAATAAAGGTCGAATGAATGAACTAAATGTAGCGGTCTGCAACCTTTACAATCAAAAGAGCCATTTCTGTCCCTTTGTTCACTAAATTAAACGTGTCCGGAGCCACAATACCTGCTACAACTGGGATTCTCAACTGGTGGCCCATGGACCACTTTAAGTTTGTTGGAGGCGCTTTTCTGGACAGTAGGGGTGATTTCATAAAACTAAAAATATCTGATGATTTGTAACATTTATTGATGTTTTTACATTCTAAGACAAAATAAAAGACAAGATTCTTGCAAAGAAGGAAAAAATATGTTTTTTGCCCAGTTTCTAAAAGCTAAAACAATAAACTATGCATCCTTATGTGACTTTTTTAATTGCAGAAAAATTGCGTATCCTACTTTGAAAAAATAAAACCTAAAGTGAAAGTGAGTATGTTTTACTATTTGTAATGTTTCTAGTATTCA